ATAGCATAAAAACAGCTTCTGAACTTTCAGAAATCACGCACATTTTGAGTGCATCACGGGCAGCTTCGTAGATGGACCGTGAGTCGGCGACATCCGAATCAAGTCGGCCGGTCGGTGAGAATATCTGAAAGGTAGGCACATCATAGAAAACATATGTGCAAAGGCGTTGGACGATGGCGTGTTTTGGGTATGGAAACGTGAATAGTAAGTATCACATTTGCTTTTTTAAGCTACTTACGATTCGCTCAATTGTTTTATTGTCTGGGAAGGTCGCGGGATGTACACTTGTCTTCTGCTCGAATGAAGCATCAATCTACACGGAAGAAGCAAAAGGAATCAAGGTTAGTATAATTTGGTAATGCAACTATGCAGCAAAATAAACGTGTGACTTACATCCACACTAAGAGTAAAATGAGAAATAAATTAAATATATATAGGAAATGATACAGTGTTCGAATATTTTAATTTTCACTGCTGAACTCTAGGAGGTCAAATATCATTGATAAGGAAAAAAAACCCCATGCTTTAGCCTTTTTAAAAAAAGCTATGAGCAATAAATGGAGTATTTGTATCAATATTTTGCTGACGCTGCATGCAAAATAAGCACACGTCAATTAGCAGTTGTTAAACATATAAAAAGCATATTTTTATCACTGTATGAGATGTATCTATAAAAGTTTGGGAAAAGTCTTCTCGATTTGGAAGAATGTGCACGTTTTATCGTGCATTTTTCTTTAAAAATGTTGTTAAGCCAGTGTACGGGATGACAAAATTTTGTTCTTAAACGCCCCGATTAAATTTTTACTTGCCTTCCACTGCTAAGACAGGTTTGTAATCGCCACTCGACTACTTGGAGTCCATTTGCCAACCTAAAATAATGGCCTTCACCGCTGCACAAATATTCACTTCGCGAGAGTACTTTACTGTGCTCTGCATTGAACGAAGTTACATATACGTCAGAGCTTCAAGGTATACCCCAGAAAAGATTGTTAAGAGTGTTCAACTTTTATCTTTAATTTCATAATTGGAAATAAGTTGATTTTCTGCCTGTTCTTCTGTAATGTTTTTATATTAATGTAAAAATGTAAATAGTATGGCCTCAATTGTACTTAGAATGTCCAATGTACTACCTATTAAATTTTATGTTAATTAACAGCTGCAATCAGAGATATCTCGTCGACGGATAGTTAAAAGCAATTCAATGACCACGGCGCTTTTTAAAAAAAGGAAAGATGGTAAGGCTCAGCCGTTTATCCCTAAAGTTAGCACCGCTTACCTTTCTAATGTCTTCCAATACGCCCTTAAGTCCAGGTAAAATGGTCACTTCTTCCGTAGGCACAGCTTCGTCGATGTAGACCACCGTATCGATTCCTGGACTGTTTGAATACTTCTCTAATTTAACATATGATGTCGTCGGCAATTCTTCTGTCCGCGATAGGAACACCAGAAGACTCAACCAAACCACAATTCGGGCGACCAGCATTTTGCACGAACGGCTTTGGAGCTGGTGAGGTAGGAGTCAGCGCTTATTTTTATACCAACGCCTCCAACTATTCGTAGTAAGTGCACGCTGTACACACACCCAGCTGATAGGTCAGATCTACGCAAACTCCAAATGCTGCTCTCGGCTTGCAAGAGCGAGATAGCACACGTGCCTCCAAACAACATAGTGCCTTGCATGAAAACGAGTAAGTAAAACCTACATCTGATAGCAAAGTTGTTTTTGCCAAGAATATCCTAATGAGGCAAAAACAGATCTACACGGGAGTCTATGAGACGTTCCGTGGGCAAAATATTAAAGAAAAGTCCCAGAAGAAAGTTATAACGATATAAATTGTGATCGTCAAATTGACTATATAACAGCTGGGACTGTGATTGCCAGAAGTACGGACTAACAAAATCCAAACGCGTGTTTTTACGTATTTAACTCATATTACATAAGAGTTGCAGAACTACAGTAGCTCGTCCACACAAGAAATTAAGCATGGTTTTTGGCGAGGGTAATGAACACGTGAGCGGAGCAAAGTAAGTAATTGTGCGGAGAGCCGGCATGCAAACAATGTTCCCAGCAGAAATAACAGTGTGCCAAACAGCCAAATGAGCATTACATTTGATAACCGTTTGGAACTTATCGCCGCAGGTGTGGACGATCAAGCCCTTGTTGCAGCAAGTTAATCGTGAGCACTTAATGGGCTAACTGAAAGTGCTGATACGTAGATGGTCCTGATGCAGCTGCATCTTGCAAAAATGTCCCCCTGCGCGTCCGTTACATTTATATGTTGGCATCGCTGAGGATGTCCTCGAAAACTCAAGAGAGCACCTTTATCGTTCCCTTGGTCAAAATCTCACTTTTGTCCGTCATCGATGATTAGGTACTTTTTATTCCTTAACTAACTCATTTAACTGTTCTATTTTAAGATAGAACAGACAGATAAGTATTGCCTCTTAGTATGTTGTTTTAGAAATATAATTTCTTTAAATTTGTGCAGGTAGAAACAAAGCAACGGTTAATTTTTGGTAAATATATATATTTTGCCCATATGCCGAGAGTTCTTTTATCAGCAGAAAATTTTACTGGGCAAACTTAAAATTTGCCGTTAATTTGTGAACAAAAAATAATGGCCTAGTATCAAATCAGTTTCTAAAGTGGGGACTATTCGTAACGGATATCAAACCAGGGCTAACTCTGATGTACGTTTTTTGTTTAACATAATAATTAGTTTATACAGAAGAAATACCTTTTACCGAGAGAAGTTTATCAAATTTTTTGCAATTTCTTCGAAATGATAACAGCAGAAAGTGTAGAGATGAAATAAAAAGGCCACTGCCTCATTCTGCATCTTTTGGGAACTTGAACACAATCCTAGTTCAGGCTGCCATTGAAGTCCAGGATAATGACCATAGTGTTAAAAGACTTTCACAGCTGAAGTAAATAAATAAATAGCGTTATGGAAAAAACGAGTGACTATTTCCTATGTCTTGATCTCATCCAAGCGCAAGGTGACGGAAATCACATGACCTGAGATGACCGTCACTGTTAATGAACCTTGGTAATTAACAGTTGTGAAAATATGATTCCCAGGTGGTTAGTCAGAACAAGGAAGTGTTAATCGGTAGAGTTTTTTTTAGGTGCATGACGTTTCGGTAGGTTGTGTCGTCAAATCATATATAGTCTCACGGCAGCCGCTATAACTCACTGCTTCAGTGTGCGTAGCCTGCCAATACCGGATGTAC